GGGCAGTCTCTCTGGCCAGTTCAGTCTTAACGACTTTTCCAGGATACGTGGCCTCGACAGCGTCTATGGCCTGTCCGACCTCAGCTGCCTCCTTAGTCTCCCCGACCTTGACAGTCTCGCGAGTCTGTTCGGCCTCAGCTGCTTCTCCGACCTGTCTGTTCCTGAGGGCTTTTTCGGCCTGCTGGGACATAGCTGCCTCATCAAGCAATCCGACCTCTGCTACCTGGACGACCTGGGTGACCTCGGCAGCGTCTCCGGCCTTTGCGACCTCTGCTGCTTCTTGGGTCTGTGTGGTTTTGGTAGTTTTCGGGGTCTGTAAGGCTTTAGCCTGATTGACGTCTGCCTCGGGCGGTCCAAAGGAAACGCCATCTGCTATGAAGTCCGCCAATGCTTGGGCCTTGATGGCTGTCCTAGGCTGATATCCCAGATCGTACTCTGATAATTTCATCGCCCATTTCACCATTCGACCCGAGGACTCGGGCTTGAAGAAGATCTGATTCAGGGGCTGGTCCGTCATAACCACCACAAGATGAGCTTGGAAGTACGTCCTGAGTTTCCGAGCTGCATGTACTAATGCCAAAACATACCGTTCTACAGCCGAATACCTTGCCTCGACTCCCTGCAGGAAGCGGCTGACATAGTATACGGGTTTCTGGACTTTGTTTTCCTCTCGAATCAGTACCGCGCTAATGGCCTCCTCTCCCGCAGCTAAGTAGATGAACAGGGTTTCTCCCAACTCGGGCGAGGTCAGGGCTGGTAACCGAGCGAGGTGCTCTTTTAGCTCATCAAACGCTTTCTGGCACTCCGAACTCCATTCAAACTGCCGACCTCCCTTCAGGGCCTTGAAGAAAGGCGACCCCCAAACTGCCGATTTAGACAGGAACCTGTTCAAGGCCACCATCCTCCCAGTCAACCGTTGCACCTCCTTAATATTCCGAGGTGGTGCCATGTCCATAATAGCCTTGATTTTGTCCGGGTTAGCCCTCACCCTTTCTTTGGAAATCATATAGCCGAGGAATTTTCCCGACCTGACCCCAAAGGTGCATTTCTTTGGGTTTAGCCGCATTCGTGAGCTCCGGAGAACCTCAAAAATTTCCCTCAGGTCAGAGAAGAACTGTTCCGGGGTTCGACTTTTGACTAACATATCATCAACATAAACTTCCAGGTTCCGGCCGATCTGATTTTTGAACAACTTGTTTACCAACCTTTGATAGGTCGCGCCTGCATTCTTTAGCATGAATGACATGGTAACATAACAATACGTGCCGTCCTCAGTGATAAACGAGGTCTTCTCCTGATCTTCCTCGTCCAGGGCTATCTGATGATACCCCTTGAAAGCGTCCAAGAAACAGAAAATCTCATAACCCGCTGTTGAATCCACAAGCTGATCAATCCGTGGAAGTGGGTAGCAGTCCTTTGGGCAGGCCTTGTTTAAGTCAGTGAAATCCACACACATCCTCCAAGCCTTCTCCTCCTTCTTGACCAGCACCGGGTTGGCCAGCCAGGTCGGGTAGTAGACCTCCTTAACGATCTTAGCCTCCAGCAGCTTACTCACCTCGTCACGGACGACCTCCTTTCGCTCAGGAGCAAAGCTCCTCTTCTTCTGCTTCACAGGTCGGACGCTAGGGTCCACATGCAGCCTGTGAACGGCCAGATCGGTCGGGACCCCTGGCATGTCATCCGCACTCCATGCAAAGATCTCTGCGTATTCTTCTATGAGAGTTTGCAAGGAATGCCGAATTGAATCGCCCAGGCAGGTGCCGACCTTGACCGTGCGCTCAGGCTGGTCAAGGCGGACAGGCAACTCGGCCAGCCCTTCATCTGTCTCCAACCTTTCCCCCTTCCTCAGGGGCTCCCAAGATTCTAAACAAGTAGTTTGGATCACCAATTTCTCCTTGCCTTTAAGGGTGGCAATATAGCAGGCCCTGGCTACTTTCGGATCTCCGAGCACCTCTGCCACCCCATCCGGAGTGGGGAACTTCATATTGAGGTGCAAAGTGGAACAAACAGCTCGGAGGGCATTCAGGGTAGGCCGTCCCAGGATCATGTTGTATGATGAGGGTTCTTTCACCACCGCAAAGTTTACTGGAACGGTCCGGCACCTTGGGGAGACCCCCACTGTGACCATGAGGGTTATTATTCCCTCCGGCCTCACGGGAGGGCCTGCAAACCCGATCAGAGGAGTTCGCACTGGGATGAGCTGCCTATCCTCCAGCTGCAACTCCTTGAAAGTCTTGTAATACAGCACATCTATAGCACTTCCATTGTCTATGTATACTTTTTTCACCTTGTAGTTACAAGTGACGACTTCTATCACAATGACTTCATGATTATTGGAGGCCAAAGGAACTGCATCCTCAGGTCCGTAAATGATTTCCTTATACATCTTCAATCGCTTGTTTGAACTCTCCCCCAAAGGAGGAGGGCGATTGTGCCGCCGAGCTGTGTGACTATCCCCTCCTACAGGTCCTCCAGCTATAGTGTTAATTACCCCGGCCAGGTTTTGAACTTCCTGCTCGGGAGTTCGGCCGCGGGGCCCCTGAGGTCGATCCCGGGTGTGGCCCTGTCGCTCCTACCTGGGCCTCCCCCGCTGTTGGTCAGATCGTTCCTCCCTTATGAACTGACCGAGGTACCCCCGTTTTATTAACCTTTCAATGTCTTTCTTCAGGTGACGACAGTCTTCCGTGTCATGTCCCACATCTCGGTGATACGCACAGTACAGACCCTGGTCACGTCGGCTCTTGTCCCCACCCAGGGGTCGAGGAGGTCGGGACAGCCCCTCCTGCTCCATCACCGCGAGGACCCGAGTTCGGGGCGCAGTGAGAGTAGTCCAAGGTTTGTCTCCGCCCAGGGGGCGGTTCCTGGGGGGACGGTCATAGGTCTTCCTTGCCAGCCCAGTCCGTGCATCCACCTGATCGGCGCCCTTCCTACGTTTGTCATCTCTCAGCCTTTCCTGCACACTTTTTAGGCGGTTGGCCTCCTCCGCGTTGGCCTTCTCATGAGCTCGGTCTAGCATTTCCTAAACTGATTTGGGAGGTTTCTCCACAAGCTCGGTGTAGAGCTTCTGCTTGCGCAGCCCGTTTATGAAGGCTGCCATGACCACCTTGTCGTCGCGATCTCGAACCTGAAGGGACTCGTTGTTGAAGCGCACCATGTATTCGCGTAGGGACTCCTCTGGCTTCTGTTGAATAGTCATCAGATGAGCAGTACTCTTGGAGAAGGCGCGCGACGAGACGAATTGGGCCGCGAACAACCGCGCGAGCTGGGCAAAGGACCGGATGGACCTGGGGGGAAGCCCCTGGAACCACTGACGTGCCTTGCCCTCCAAAAACATTGGGAAAGTCTTACACCTGACCGCATCGGCGGCAGTTTGAAGACGCATTTGGGTCAAGAAGGCAAACAAGTGGTCCTCCGGATCCGTAGTCGCATCGTAAGACTTCATGCTAGGTATCTTGAACTTTGTAGGCAACGGATAGTTCTCAACATCAGGCACGAAAGGGGAAGCGATGTACCTGTCTGCCTCTGTGTCCAAGAGTAGGTCCAGCTCGTCCTGCACCTGGAGCTGCTCTTTCCGAGGCTAGAGCTCCTCCTTAGAGTGCCTCCGGACAGGCTCCGGATGCTCAGTTCGGGAGTGCTTGTGAGAGGGCTCCCCGATGTCGATGTGCTCGCGCGTGGGCTCCTGGCGCACTCGCTTGAGCTGGGGGTTAGGGCTCCCAGTCCGGGACTCGGTTGGACCCTCCTCCAGGTTCTTTGGCCCTTGGCCCAGATGTCCTCCCGTCTGCCCCTTGAGGTAATTCACAATGGCCTCAAAAGTGGGCAGGTTCCCTGCTACCACCTGAACCAATTGCTCTGGCGGGATCCGTGAGGCTCCCACACCCTCACCTCCAGGGGTCGGACTCCGGGCAGACTGATGGGGACCGCTTCCTCCATTCCCCTTGGACCCATCGGCATTCCTCTGCGATCTCGTTCTTGGCATGACTCGCAAGAGATAAATTTCGGGTTCCCACAGACGGCGCCAATTGATGCGACAGCCAAAAACCGGATCCGAGCTGAACGGTTGCGAGCCGAGCTGGTCAGGGGTAGCCGACCTGAGAGGGTGAGCCGAGCAATGGGTCCTGTGAAGGGGGAAAAATGGCGGGACCGGCGTCCCTGAAATAACTCCGACGGTCAAGTCAGTGATGATTGTCCACAAAGTAATGGTTTAGAATACTTGTGAGTGCGTACCTTGCATCGTCCCTAGGCATGGTTTATATAGGGCAGAGTGGGTTGTAGTTTCCTTGTGGGAGTCAGAATCCCCGTAGGGTTCGGAGTCTTCTTAGGGTTTCGTGCGGCGGCTCCTACAAGTTCGGAGGCGGCGGCCCATAGGCCCATCTCAGAGAGCGACAGGTAAGGCCGAGCTGGCATCCACATGCCGAGCTAGCGCCTGCGAGTTGTGAGGTCTCCACCATCGACCTGACGCGTACAACCTGCCGAGCTGACATGTGTCACGTGCAGATTTGCCCCACTACAGTTGGATTTTGGAAAAATTCATAGCGTGTTAGCATTCTATGAAGATCAATTGTAATTTACTATGTCGTGCGATAACAAATTTTCTTACCAAAGAAAGCATGCAGCCCAACATTTTCCTCCATATGTGTCCGCTATGTACACATGCTTCTGGTAGAGGATATGGTTGGTTCAAGAGGACTGCTCAACGTATTAGAGGATGTGTTCTATCAAAAGTTGATGTTACACGGGTTTGTTTGGATTGTAAGTTATTTGGGATATTTTTACTGTAGCACCTTTTGTGACGTGATGTATGTGAGATAAAAAGGTAATTGGGAAGATAAAAAGGTGTATTGGAAATTGTAATGATGATATAAGCAAATAAAATTGAAAAAATAATGCTCAATCCAAACAAACCCTGACGCTAGAGCAAGAATTTTCTCAAGGCGTGAAATTTAGGTTTGTGTAGTATTAAACATACAACAAACTATGTTGTCTATGCAAAGCAGTCCAAGTAAGAAATCTAGCTCTTCAACTTCAAATAAAACTACAATCCACGATTTGTAGGACTGACATACAGAGAAGATTGTAACACAAGTGTAGAGTTGGCGAGATTAATTTCATTAGTAATATGCAGAATATATACTCTGATAGTGTGAACAAGGATTTGTACTTTGCTAGGACGTAAAGTGGAGACATCATTCAAATGAATACACTTGGGCATTTTGCAGTCAATCCCCTTGCTCTGCTAGACGCCACAAGAGGGAGAAAACCTAATACTTGTACTCTTTCACGTACAAACTCTCTGAGGCCAATCCACCAGCACTTCCACCAGCATATTTCCCAAGAGTAGCATCCGAATTAGCTTTGCATCTTGCCAAAAATGCATCTTGAGCTTTCTCCACGTTCTCCTTCTTGCCAGCCCATATCTTGAGCGTGCTTTGCTGCAGAGCACGCCCAAACGAGAATGAGAGTGTCCATGGCTTCAGCACCTCCAACTTGTTCATCCCATTCAGGTTTTGCGTTGCCTCTTCCTCACTTTGTCCACCTGACAGAAATACAATCCCTGGCACTGCCGCTGGAACAGTTCGGCGCAGTGCTGTAACGGTGTACTCGGCAATTACTTCTGGTGCCACCTGTCAAACAGATCAAGCATTTGCATTGGTTGTCATCACGCTCAAGGCGCTCTATATTTATCAATAGATTATTTCCCTGTTAGCAATTAAGCTCACTTTTGGTGTGGCTAGGTACAGGATATGTGACGTCACTCTTGGATTGGCTTCATAAGTAGACAATAATAAGTTAATTAACTCCATGCCATATTCCTACTAGAGAAATGTCCATTAGCACTGTCGCAGCCAAATTAAGTGTGTTTAGATAGTAAATTATTTGAAATAATTTTTTTTTAAAAAAAATATATATTATAGTACTTCTTTTAATGTGATGTATCCGAGATTTAAAAAAAAAAAAGATTGAAAATGTGTTGATGATGCCGTAAATAAAAATTTGCAAATAAAATACAATCTAAACAAACCTTATATTTACATACTAGTCCAAGGTATAATCAAACTATGTATGGCTTTGGCATTACCTTTGGGCTATCAGAGCCAGGCGTGACCATGTTAGGCTTTAAGAGTGTTCCTTCAAGAAGAACATGGTGGTCACTCAGGGCCTTGTAAACGGCTGCAAGAACAATCTCCGTAACAGCCGCACATTTTTTAATGTCATGGTTTCCATCAGTCAGAATTTCTGGCTCAACAATTGGGACAAGTCCGTTCTCTTGACAGATAATGGCATAGCGAGCCAAACCCTGTGCATTCTGCTGGACGGATAGCTCCGATGGCTCAGTAGGACCAATTTTCAGGACTGCGCGCCACTTGGCAAAACGGGCACCTGCCCTGTAATACTGTGCGCAACGAGCTCCAAGGGAATCAAGCCCTTGAGTGGTAGTCTCACCATTTGTCCCTGCCAGTTCAACAACTCCCTTGTCGACTTTGATCCCGGGAACCACATTGTTCTCTTGAAGGACTTCAACGAAGGGCTTCCCGTCTGATGTTTTCTGGTAAAGGGTTTCCTCAAAGAGTATTACGCCGGAGAGGCAAGCCAGGGCCCCTGGTGAGGTGAAGAGGAGCTCACGAAGAGCTTGACGGTTAGACTCTATGTTCTCCACATTAATGCTAGCCAAACGCTTGCCAATAGTGCCAGTGCTCTCATCAGCTGCCAAAATACCCTTCCCAGGGCTGGCAATGTAGTTGGCAGTCTTGATGAGTTCTTCTGTACAAGCAACAGCAAAGATTTTCGAGTCAGAAATAAAGCTCCATGCTCTGTTGATGCATTCACGAGTAATAACATATATAGATGACACGCAATAGAAATTTGTCTAACAAATAACTGCGTAAAGAATACACAGAACGAATATAAACAGAGTGGAATCCATCATCCAGGCAATACCGAAGCTCACTGACACGTGCAGCAAAAGATTTACAGACTGCATGCATGAAGCCAAACACATTTAAATCTATTTGACGCAGGAAAGTACGTTTCATCAGCCAGGGAAACCAGGCCACCCCCTGGAAAAGTCCCATTTCATATTAGGTGAAGCTAAAAGGTTGAGTTTGTCATCATATATATTAAATAAATGTTGCAACATGGATACGGGATCGCATGCAGACGTATAAAAGTTGATAAGGGGTTGAAGAGAGGAAGAAAGGGTGTGCGCACCGGCATACTTTCCCACAGAGGCCGACATGATTGTTTGGCTTTCGTTAAGGATAATGCAGCAGCGGGTCAAGCGAACAAACACAAATTAGAAACAATGGTGCACGTCCAGAAGAACCAATCTATATAGATAACCTTAACGGAATATACCTCCGTCATCACCACGTGTCCTGATATTAGCCCAACGAAAGTTATCATGTAGGGATAGTGGAACGAGTGATCAATCTGATTGCCAAATGGCGCGCTGTTTGGCATTGGCAAGAAATTAAATCAGTGTCTAGGGAAGCTAACCGTGCAAACTGATCCCTCATCCCAAATTTGTTCATTTGGGAGCCTCCAAAAGAGTTTTAATACCCCGGGGTCCCAAGCCTTCCTTCCCAGGAAAACCAAAACTAGAACTCAAGAAACCAAGGAAGAGTTTCCGGCGCCCAAGAGATTTGGTGGGCTCCTTTTCTCTGACCATCACAACCCTTTCGACCTTTCTTTCAGCCACCCCCCCCCCCCCTAAGGAGGTTGGAGGAACTAATCTTTCTTTGGATAGTTCGCAGTTTCTTTTCATTGAAAACATGCAATTTTGACTTACAAGATGACTGTTATAAGAACGCTTCAAAGTTCACCTGAAATGAGAAATAACGCCACCAGAAAACTTGGCAGTGCCATGCATGCCAATGTTTGAACGAACAGCAACTATAGAGGGTAGGAAATTTGCAGTGTCCTGTAAATATTGCCCCTTTAAGGACGTAACACTGGCACATGTAACACCTATAAAATGCCAGGACAACAATAGACAATGCACGCAGTAGGACATGCATCGCATACATCCTGCTACCTGCAGTTGATTGATTTTCTATCCTCCTCCTATGTTTTTCTTATGAATCAGCAAAAGCATATGAGAAATGCCTTTTTTTTTAAAGGAAAAACAGTCAAAACTTTTTCAGAATCTAGCAATAGCTGCATCACTGGTTCATTAAATTCAGCAGAGTACTCTTTCCAGTGGCTGACGATCGGGGTTCAATCATCATCTGTGCCAAAATATCGGTCACCAAACTCTCCCATGCCTGGGATAACACGGAAATCTTCATTTAATCCAACTTCAATCTCAGATGTCACAATCTTTATTTTAGGGAAACGCTTACAGACTACATGTACTCCTTTTGGTGCCTGGAATTAAAGGGAAAAAAAAACGGAGGAATCCCACATTAATCTTCCACTTATCTGTGCCATAAACTTAGATACAAAAGCCCATAAACTTACTGAAATGAGGTTAAGGAATATGATGTTGGATTCGGGTACTCCCTTCCTTAGAAGTAAAGAAATAGCTTGAACAGCCGAATTTCCTGAAGAGGGCTTCACAATCAGGACATTGATAAATGAAAGCCCACATGCTCAGAACAAAATTGTTTCACGTTCATCGTATTTAGCTTTCCTCTTCAAATAGACTAACCTGTTCCCAGGATGGGGTCTAACAATAAGACATGCCTATTCAAAATATCTTGTGGAAGTTTCTCGTAGATCAACTGCAATCAAAATATCAAAAGAAAAGGGTTCAATTAAAAGGAAAAAGAAATAAAGAGTCACTTCAGGAATTGGGGCTTGGGCAAACCAGCCTACCTGCTGACCATTATCACCCTCTCTATGGATTAGAATCTTGCCGATCTTGATACCTTTGCAGCATGCTCGCAAGGCGTTTTCCATACTTTCACCACTAAGACCAAACAAGAAATATCAAAAGGCTTGAAATACATAGCAATTTTAGTTTCTGCTATGAAGGCAAGAAGCAGCAGCAACAAGCGTGGAGATTAACATGGAAAGATCACATCCCCCTGATTGGAAATAGGTAGCAAATTATAAAGATTTCTGCATATCTAAAATGCATTCGGCATGTAAAGAAGAGAACACATTCAAGCAGGTCAAAGAATAATATTCATTCAAATGTGACACTTAAAAGCATTGAGACTGAATGATGTAGCACCTTCTTATTACAGAGACACCACATAATCTCTTGCAAAAGTCCACACCAGTGTATACAGATCCTGCAATTCCATAGAATGTATAAATATTAAGCCAATAATAGGCTTTGCATGTCCACATGTAAATAAGGAAAAAAAAAAAAAGTATATTTTTAGTCTATCATTTTGTATAGTAAAAACTAGAATAATCTTTATGCAGGAAAAGCTTCTTATTCGTGCTAATTGACTTAGAAAACACACAGGCATAATCTGGATTCTCTGGAACCAGATGATACCCCAACCTCGTAAAAATTAATATGCAATGAATTTCTGATGTAGCTTGACGAGGAAACTGTCAGGCATGGGTACAGGATCCTTTACAAGTAAGACCTACTGCACGTGAAATTTCCCCTGCCTCATTCTTAATGACATTGTTAAGTTAAAGGAATTACAGAAAAAGAAGCCTAAAGATAGCATTAGGCAACTTGTCCTTCAAAATAACAACATTCCCAGCAACATACTTTTGCTAAGCAGATGAAGTAAATCAATTAACTATCATTCATCAAGAGGAGGCCCAGAACTGGTTCCACCTAAACTGGCATTTACCCATTTAACTAACAAGTATGGAACTTGGATTCACTTTCAAGCCAGACTGGAAGAATGTAATAACTGCATCCTCCTGATTTTTCAATTTGCCACTTGTTAAATTTTAACTAGACAGAAGACTTACCAGTTGGGGTGATCACCTGCTTTTCTGTAAATGGAAGATGTCCTAGACCATGTTCAACAACCTAGATATCGCAAAGTCTACTTGGTAAGTAAGTGGAAAATAAATTAATTGTTCTCTTTGGAAATTGAAAGCTTAAGATCTGTCACAACAATCTGACAGTGGCAATTACCCACCAGACGTATTAATCTATCAGCATAGAAGACAAAATCATGTTTTGTTGTTTGGGAATCACGTATAAGTGTATGCATACCACGAATCTGGAAAAGAAACAATAATTGGGATCAAACAGGTTACTCAATTTAACCTATTAAGAGCATTAAATGACCTTAAATTAACAACGGAAGATCCTCTAGTGAAGAATCATCTAAATGGCGCATGGACAGTTTATGAAGCTCGCAAAGGTGGAGACAATACCTGAAATGTTGAGTGAATCACATACAAATTAGGATATATTTTACAAAGATCATGTTGACCAAGTTTTGTGCGAATATGTTGAACAATCAAATCAATGGCAACAGGATTGTCTCCTCCTCGGGGAATGATAATATCTGCATACTTCTTTGTTGGAAGAATAAAATCATCGAAAGCTGGCTTCACAAACTTTGAGTACTGAAAGAACAATAAAAGCTAGTGGTTACTCAAAATGTATCACTTAAAGAAGAAGAAAATTGTCTTTAATGTATCTTTTATGAAATTTGCGTATATATTGTCTGTTGAAGGGAGTCAAGGCCTCTATGTTTTGGCTTTCATAGGACGACTTATGATTTAGTTTCTTTTCGAACTCATCTAAAAGTGTGGAAAGTTTGTCTGTATGGTTTGGACAGATCTTTACACTAGCAATTTGCTTTTTGCACAAATTCAAACAAAATGAAAAGGCATAGTTTTGGCCTCTTTGTGGCAGTGCAATAAAAGATTTCTGAATGAACAATATTCGCACAAAGTTCTCTGAGCCCTTATGTACAATACCCTAATTTTCCATAGAAGCAGCATTTCAAAGCTCAAAGTCTTCTGCTATCTTCCAATCCCCACGTTGTCTTCCACGTGCCCAACACAATAAAAATCCCAAGTCCCAATGCTAGTTAAGGTTTTGGTACAAAGAATTTGGAAACAGACCAGATAAATTCTAGTTGGAAGTTTTTCTTTGCAAATCAATTAGGATGGAGTTTCAGAACAAGCTTATCTAGCAAGATAACATCAAAACCACTCCCCCCCCCTCCCAGCCCACCAGAATCAAAGAGGGGAGGAATAAGATCCTGAAACATTGGATGACCAGCCGAACTATTAGCTTTACTAATGAAATATTATAGATTAAGAATTTGTTCACAGCCCAAAGTTCATTCAGCAATGTGTCATGGTAAATTGCTAGTTTACAAGCAACACTTCAGATAGCTTATTAACAGAAATCATACACGAACTGGGGCTTCTCTGAATTCATAAGTGACAAAGAGGCAATTTATCAAAGAAAGGGGTGGAAAACAGTGTGAGTTGTTCTGAACTTTTTTGAACAAGCGATGAGATTCCGCTAACCTGGTCTAATACCATCCCAATATCTCTACCCTTCTCAGCTGTATCACGTCTGATTCTTCTGGCCAAGCGTACATCAGCATCTGCACTGAAAGTTTTAGGTAGTGAAACTAAAATGAACCAAGAAATAACAGAAGGAACAAAAATAGACCTTATGTATAAACCATCTTTCAAAATTACATTTTCCATGAAATAGCCACAAAAATAACAATAAGTAATAGTAATAATAAGTGGAAGGCAACCAGATCCAAGGAAACACACTATCTTCTTACAACAAGCAAATCTTAAATTTCTACAATAAGTATCACATTTCAACACCGATACTGTGAAGCTATCTCATGTCAATTGTTATTATGGAATAAGATAAAAAATAAAAAAAAAACCAAAGTTTCCAATTTCAGAAAGGCATGATGTGTAATTAAGTTACCAAGGTAGATATTTATTTAAAAAACAACAAACATTAACAGAAATGAAGGGAGTTAACCTGTATCTACAAATATCTTCATGCTCATCAAATCTCGAACGCGCGGATCATGAAAAATGAGAATGCCCTCCAAAATGATAACATCTGAAGGATTTACCTGCAAACATTCCACCACAAAAAGATAATTTGTAATGCAACTATTAAGGAAATGAGAAAGAAGTATTAAGAAGGATTCATCTGCGCTTTAGGATCAAGTTGATTATCTTTTCACAAAGAAAAAAGAATGAATATTAAGATTCATTGAGTGAATAAGAGACACAGGATAATACACATATGAGGTTGAAACCTATGGATGCATTCATCCATGATTAAGCCACTAACAATATTCCAATTTTTCCAGTGCCAAATGCAGCTCATCTTCCATGGCCTTGTCACATGTTATAAGTTCAAAGTTAAAGGAAAAGACATGTTATAAAAGCAAATCAAATTACCCT